TCATCTCAAATCAACTACAAACAGATCCATTCGTCCCGGAATGATCACCCACCATAAAAGAACTCATTTATCATTATTTTTGATAATGTTTTCAAATTTTTGGGGTTTTACATTTAATCTTATTTATTGATTTATAATCTCTCATTCATCTCAAATCAACTACAAACAGATCCATTCGTCCCGGAATGATCACCCACCATAAAAGAACTCATTTATCATTATTTTTGATAATGTTTTCAAATTTTTGGGGTTTTACATTTAATCTTATTTATTGATTTATAATCTCTCATCTAATTAATAATGGTTTGTCGTGGACGTAGAACATTCTCCGAACTCATGTTGCAGTCATCTCAAATCAACTACAAACAGATCCATTCGTCCCGGAATGATCACCCACCATAAAAGAACTCATTTATCATTATTTTTGATAATGTTTTCAAATTTTTGGGGTTTTACATTTAATCTTATTTATTGATTTATAATCTCTCATCTAATTAATAATGGTTTGTCGTGGACGTAGAACATTCTCCGAACTCATGTTGCAGTCTGTGAGCGTTGAATTTTTTTTGTGACTTTGCGGTCTTGCTTGTGATTTAATTTCACTTTGTGCAATATCCGCAACACTGAAAGCTGACATAAACTTTTATGGTTTATTCATCATTTATCACACAAATCATAAGTTCTTCTGGTTTATACATTATTTATAATACAATATCAAACCTAAACCCATATTATACACTACTCAATATTCCCAAATCTTGACATTATTCACAAACTAGAAATCACAAATATCTTAAAGGAGTCGCTTGTCAAGATTTAATATTTATGCACAAAATGTTCACCGACGCTTTGTTCAGAAATCGAGCAGACTGGCGTAGGGAGATGACTGATCGGCCCAAGGACTACTCAGCTGGTTCACTAATGCATCATGCAACCATTCCGTATCATTTTCTTCATTAAACACATGTGATGATGATTCTCCATCTGGTTTCAGGCCTTCTTCAGTATTTGCAGTGAGACGATTGGCCGGATCTCCACCAACAGCAGAAACCAAGTCTTGGAAGTTATCGAAGGATACGATTCCTACCGGGGACGTGATGTGCGTTGATGCTCTTGTGTTTGCAAGTTGTTCAGCTGCACGCTGCTGTAGCTTCATCGTAGTCGTCACCTTTCGGTATAGTTTGCATATCACTATGTTGCCCTGCAACCATTGCTCCTCGTTAGTCTACTACATCGAGAAATTCTATGGAGATGGAGGATCCTCTATATATAGAAACTCATGAGAAAGTAGATCTCAACCTAGGTTTTATTACCAGTTTTAAATCAGTTTTAAACAGGATATAAAATAAAATAAAACTCTAAAATTCAGTGCGAACAAAATATTGACTCGATTAGCAGTACGGTAATCATCTACTTTAATATTGATAATATGGATGCACATATAAACTTTTCCTTGCAGGGGTTAGCACGTAGGATTTGGATCCTCTCCACTACAAAAAAGTAGTGGAGAGAACACTACTTTTAATCTCAAGCGTTGATTATTTAGTAGGCGGTTATGATACAATCTAAATCTAACACTTACCATACCCCCGTGTATTGCACTCATTCCTAATTTGCACTAAAAGAAAAAATCATAACCATCAACTAGATAATCAATGGCTGTGATTATGTAGTGGTCCCTTCACTATTTTTTTTGTAGTGGAGAGGATCCAAATCCTAGCACGTAGCCCTCTATACACATTTTCCATATTAAAGGCATCAATGAAACGAAAGTGGGTCCATATTTCTTGAAAGCTCTAGGGCTTTTTTATTTGAGTGGCACTAGGGGCACATCCTAACCACACCTCCAACCACACCCCCTCTCTCATTTGCTACAGTGCACCGACCCCACATGAGATTTTAAATTTCTAAAATCTCATGTGGGGTCCGGTGCACTGTATCAAATGAGAGAGGGGGTGTGGTTGGAGGTGTGGTTGAGGGTGTGCCCCTATCATTTTCCTTTTTTTTTTAACAAAAGTTTATATATATAAATTGTTGAAGACCGTACACGTCACTTTCGTGATCTTCTAATGAGCCCATTGACGAATATAAAGATATAACATACTTAGAAATATAACAAATTATTAACTCTCCTAATAAACAATGGCTAGTCATCAAAACTAGGGTCCATTTTTAAGAAAAAGAAAATAGAAGGGATATAATTAAGATGCTTCCAGACATGGATATATGCAAATTCAACATCGTACCATAATCTTGCAATTAAACATGCATTAATTTATATATATAAGAATATCTCATGAAATTTTATAATGCGCTCCAAATTTAATAATAAAAAATAAGCTACACGTGCATAAATCTTATAAAGCACATATCGTAAGGTTAACATATATATGTAGATAAAATGAATGGTTTGCAGTTCTCTGACGGACCAATTTATGCCATGTCATGAATAATACATTAGCTTATAATTAAGCACATAGAACAGTGTCATTATTTTGTAAATAATGATGTATTTATCCGAAACACCACAAAGCTCTCACTTTGTCCCTACCATTGAAGAAGATGAGCCCTCACCCGGCAGACGATACTCATTCATAACCCATTCAGTCTTAATCCCACACGGAGCTCGTCCTTGATAATAAACCAACGTCTTCTTCAGACCGATGAGCCTTTTTGGGTCGGACCCACTTCTAATGGGCCTATCCGACCCGGTCGCCTTCCAGAACCCTCTCGTCGTCATCCGATTCGGCCTCCCCTTCGCCTGTTTCTGATCCCTTGGCACAAAGAAGTACCATTCTCTTTCCCCAACCTTCGCTAATCCTGCACAAAAAGTAATTAAAAATAGATTGTAATTAACTAAGTTAATGATGGTGGTTAGTTACTACCGGGTAAATCCCAAGGGTCATAACGGTAGATATTGAGCGTGCCGATGATTTCAAAGTTGAGCTTCGTTCCGTTAACCATTCGTCGTAAGTAGAAATCCAGGAGCTCCTCTTCCGTTGGGTGGAAACGGAATCCCGGTAAGTCGAGCTCCGACACGCTTCCATCCATAACAACAAATTTTTATTTATTTACATAACAACAGTAATTAATGAAGCCAAATATTCACATATTCGGCACCTCGAGGGACAAAAAAAGGTGAGGAGATATTGGACTTATATAGACGAAATCTGCTTGCTTTTGCAACCAAGGATTGGGTACCAAAGCAATTAGTTTACACATGGAAACTATAGAAAGGAATAATAATGAAGTAATCAGTAGGACAATTTTTGTCTTCTCCACGAGTGATTTTAGTACTGTAATATATTGCCGTTCGTGGGTGCCAAAAAAGAAAATAAGGATTTAAAATGAGCTTAAAATATGATATCTCAGTGGCAGACGTTCAAAATTAAATCGTTTGGACAAATGTTATGAGGTTCTAGATTATGGAACTTAAATTAATGAGCCGTCCTTGTGTAGTAGCTTGTGACAACAAGTTGCTTAATTAATTGAATAACTTCTTAGTTACTTGCTAAGTAATAGTATAATGGTTATTAAGCGAAAAATCGTGTTGTCTTGTGAGCATAATTTGAAGAGTTCAAAAAAGCATTTAAATATTGCCAATATGTGTTCCAATTTGATAACC